GTGAGGAAAGCCAGTGACAAACCTGTGAACACACTGAGACCCCCCCATCTGGAAACCCACCCAACGTTCCAGAGGGTGACTGTGTGGGAGGTGGGGGTTCCCCCTCCTGGGTTCAAAGCTTCAGTCGTGTACAGCTTGCCCGTGTCACCTCTGTGATGCCGCGGGTTCGACAGCAGAGCCGTGACCTCACCGAGAACACAGTGCCTCCTGAAGCTCCGATTCAGAGCTCGTCAGATGCAGAGCGCTTTTTAAAAAAATAGGTTTTTATTGATTTTTAGGGAGACGGGGAGAGGAATAGAGAGATAGAAACACTGATGAGAGAGAAACGTATCAACCTGGGCCTGTGGCCTGACTGGGAATCGAACCTCGACCTCTTGGTTCCTGGGTCGACGCTCCACCACTGAACCACCCCAGCTGGGCACGCTGAGCACTTTAAAGCCAACTCTATTCGTTACCAAAGTGCAACGGGAAGCAGGGAGCATGCAGTCATGACAGCCTCTCTCTCAGAGGGGAACCCTGGCGGCTAACTTCCCAAGTCCTCTTGTCGGGCGATTAACAAGGAGCAGCCTGTGTGGAGGAAGTGGCTCCCGGCCGTCAGCTGCGATTGCTCCAACTATGAAACCTCATCCCAAGCCACCACCGACCCAGCAGCCACTGCTGGCATCACCGCCGACCCTCTCACCCACGGCGGTGCCTGCTGCAGCTTCAGTTACCTGCGGTTAACCGCACCACGGATTATTAAATGAAAAATTCCAGAAATAAACAGTTAGTACGTTTAAAATTGTGCACTGTTCTGAGGAGCATGATAGAAATTTCACGCCATCTCACTCCATCACGCCGAGGACGTGAATCATCCCTTCTTCCAGCGACCCCTCGCTATACACGCTACCCGCCTGTTAGCCACTCAGTAGCCGGCTCGGTTATCAGACTGACATTCATGGCAGCATAGGGCTTGTGTTCAAGTCACCCTTATTTTACTACTAGAGGCCCAGTGCACGAATTCGTGCATGGGTGGGGTCCCCTGGCCTTGTCGGCGATTGGGGCTGATTGGGGCCATCTCGCCTAGTCGAGATTGGGGCCAATCAGGGCCGGCCGGGGGGAGGGACCACGGGAGGTTGGCCGGCCGTGGGAGGTTGGCTGTGGGAGGGCACTGACCACCAGGGGCAGCTCCTGTGTCGAGCGTCTACCCCATGGTGGTCAGTGCGCATCATAGTGATCGGTCGACGGGTTGTTCGGTCGACCGGTTGTAATGGTCGCTTGGGCTTTTATATAGGAAGATTAACTAGAGCCCTAGCCGCTTTGGCTCAGTGAATAGAGTGTCGGCCTGCGAACTGAAAGGTCCCAGGTTCGATGCCGGTCAAGGGCACATGCCCGGGTTGTGGGCTCGATCCCCAGTGGGGGACTTGCAGGAGGCAGCCATCCCATGATTCTCTCTCATCATGGATGTTTCCATCTCTCTCTCCCTCTTCCTTCCTCTCTGAAATCAATAAAAATATTTTTAAAAAAAAGATTAACTAGAGGCCCGAGGCATGAATTCGTGCACGGCGGGGGAGGGAAGGCAGCCTCCCTCCGAGTGGTCTGCGGAGATTAGGCCCCAGCTTCACGCCCCCAGTCTCCACAGGCCCTGCCTGGGAACTCACCTTGGCCTGGAGC